AACTCCTGTTTAGAGTGTACATCATCTTAATGGGGCATAGTTTATGGTGATGAGAATCACAAAACCATACTGTGTTCCAATGACCTGCATGTTTCACTGGAAGCATTGCATTATGCACTAGGAAGAAAGAGGATTTGATTATTTAAAGATAACTTGAAAAGGGGGCGGGGAAATAATCCTAGGAAGAAAAGTTGAGGGAAATAATCCTAGGAAGAAAAGTTGAAGCAGAGTCTTAAATTTTTTTTTGGAAGTCCAAGAATATGCTGGTGGTAAAGTCTTATTGAGAAGACCTTTTGGTATCTACTCCATGCTCCCACTCAGTAACGAACTTAGGGGAGTGACAATAACTAATTCGATGGTATACAAAGGGGGATTTTGCAATGACTTGTTCTCTTTACATTTTTGTATTCATGGATCACATTTATTCTAGAAATGCCAGTCTCATCCTTGGCATTTCAGCAGCAAAGCAATGATGTCCAGCCTGGGGGTTTCTTCCCATGCAGCATCATCTCCACTGGTAACTTCCCACAAAGGGACTGCTTCTCCCAAACACAACTTTCGCTCTCTGCTACATTTTAAGATCTCTTTATTGCTACATTAGTATCCCTCAAGGTGAATCTCTTCCTCATCTTTCAGATCCGACATCTGTCACCTCAGGAACTGTTCTTTGTTCTTTCTTCCCACTAGGAACCTTCCAATCTCACAGCAGAGCTCAGACACGGTTTTTACCCTTATTTCCCAGGCTCTCCTCCAGCCAGCCAGAGTGGTCTTTGAACAACACACAAATCAGATCTTGTCATATCCCTCCTGACAGGCCTCTCTAGTCCACGGAGAACGAATCCCAAATCCTCCCGTGCCTACAAGATTCTCTTGGATCTGACTCTTCTAGCCTACATTTTCAACCCTTTCCTGCTTCTCTCTCCATCTGCCTCTCGGGTCTCATTAGCCCCACTCATTATAGTATCTTTCTCTTTGGGAATCCTTGCACAAGAAATTGGGATAATTCTAGGAAGGCCTAATTTCAAGGACCTTGGCACCAAGAAGTGGCAGCCGTACAGGAGACAGACAGCAAAGACAATGAGCTGTGATCACCCAAGGAGGAGGCCATTCTAAGGACCCTAGAAGAGAAACCAGTCGAGAGGGGACCTAGCCCACCAATAGCTAGCTGAAACCTGTTTACAAGGATGTGGACCTACCATGTCTTCCCCTTCACCCCTCTCCCTTGGGTTCTCCATTGGCTGAAGCCAAATGACAGCCATGGGGTAGGCTGCCCATCAATGCAGCCCTCTGCTGGGAAGCCTTCCACTGATGGGAAAGAGCAGGGAAGAAGGTAGGGAGGGTGGACTTTGGGAAGCAAGTGGAAGGACTCTGTTACCACACATACACAGTTCCAGATGCTAGCAGAGGGGCGGGGCTTGGCTTAGGATACAGTGATCATTTTCCTCCCTCTGGACACTTCCCCAACATTCCAACTCTGATGGCCCTTTCACTGGGTGTCCCTCTAGTGTGATTATAGTACCTGACAGTCCTCCCATCACGGTAATCATGTACTTATCAATCTCTTCCCCTACCTGATAATGGCCCTGAGGTCAAGGACTCCATCCTTTCTATGTATCACTGCTCCCTCAGCACTCATCTCCACGTCTAGCTCACAGACCCTTGAGTATGTGTTGAATGGAATTCACTAGAATTATGTTCTTTTTTTTAAAAAGGAGATCCTGTTGTATATTTTCTTATTTTATGTATTTATGTTTTGATTTGCTTGTTTTTTTTTTTTTAAAATAGGTCTATTGCTCTAGGAGTTTTATTCCTGAAATCCAGAGCAAACTGTTGGCAAATGAATAATAATAAAGAGTAGTCTTCATGAATATTTGAAGCAATGAAGAATGTATTTATGAGCACTATTGTTAGTCAGCATATCTTCCTCAGTGGGCAGGTTAAAAAAATGTATTATTTAAGGTTCTCTACATGATCATAACTGGTGGAACAAATCTCTCCATGTAGGAAGAAAGTGGATTTATTAGAATATCTCACAAGCTATGGTTTAGGTAGCCCAACAATGGCTGCTACCAATGGAAATTTGAAGAATTCAGTAGATGTTCAGTTCATGAGGCTAGAATGATGTTCTTAATCCCCATTGTAGCCATGGCTGTGATGCTCATGGACATCCACATACTTTCTTATCACATTTGAGAAAAGAATCAGACTTAAGTACTAGTTTGTACATATCCAGCTAGAAAACACTACCATAATAATTTTTTTAAAGATTTGTTTATTTATTATGTACACAGAAGAGGGTGCCAGATCTCATTACAGATGGTTGTGAGCCACCATGTGGGTGCTGGGAATTGAACTCAGGACCTCTGGAAGAACAGTCAGTGCTCTTAACCTCTGAGCCATCTCTCCAGGCCCACTACCATAATAATTAAATAACACTATCAACACTTTAAATGGCCAATTCATCATTTTTATCTAGATTCTTATCTTCCCTACACATAGAAGATAAGGTACTTAGCTCTTTGGGTCACTGTTTTCTTCTGTTATAAAAGAGTTTGGCCAGTTTCCACGATATTTCCCAATTCTTTATTTTTAAGGTCCCAAGTGATGGGCTCCATAAACTCAACCTGCATCTCTTCTCATCCTTGTGTTCCCAATAACTCTCCTAAGAACTCCAAGGAACACTGGGGTCTACATCCGAACCTCACTCTGAACTACCTTGG